TTATTTAGAAAAATCAATGTAAATTTGGTTACTAACAACGTGTTGTATTTTGAAATCAAAACATTTTTTAGAACTTACTGGCTTCTCTATATACAGTGGATGGACAAAAATATGGAAACACCTTGTGAAATGCATGTTTAAAAAGAAAGATTGATTTTAATGAAATATTTAGGTGGCGCTGGCGTATTTGACTACTGACGCCACCTATACAACTTCGTAAATGTGCTAAACAGTTCAGTTGTTGTCGGAGTACTGTTATGTGAGGTTGTCATTGCATTATGTCAGAGTTAACAGACTTCGAACGTGGGCAAATTGTTGGAGCACGTATGGTAGGTGCTTCCGTAAGCAAGGTAGCCGAGGTGTTTAGTGTTTCAAGAGGTACTGTATCGAAGATTTATTCCGCATATTTGAAAAGCGGAAAAACATCATCTGCTAAATCACAGCGCGGACAAAAGTGTGTCCTGAGTGATCGTGACAGACGATCATTAAGGGCAATTGTGACGAAAAATAAGAAGACCACAGCTGCAAAAGTTACTGCTGAAATGAATGTTGTGTTACCGAACCCTGTGAGTACCAAAACAATTAGAAGGGAGCTTCATAAACAGGGAATTGCTGGCCGTGCTGCAATTGAGAAGCCACTCATCAGTGATGCTAATGCCCGTAACAGAAAAAGGTGGTGTTTAAGTCATAAAGCCTGGACTATAGAGTAGTGGAAGCGAGTAATATGGTCTGACGAGTCTTCTTTCACATTGTTTCCCACTTCTGACCGAGTATACGTCTGGAGAACGCCATCTCAAGCCTATAATACAGACTGCTTGTTGCCAAGAGTGAAACATGGCGGGGGTTCTGTTATGGTTTGGGCAGCCATATCGTGGTTCTCTGCTAGCCCCATGATAACTGTGTCAGGGCACATGACTGCCAAGACTTATGTGAACATTTTGGCCGATCAAGTTCATCCCATGGTACAAACTTTGTTCCCTGATGGTGATGGTGTATTCCAAGACGACAAAGCCCCTGTTCACACAGCTCACATTGTCCAGGACTGGTTTTCTGAGCACGAGGATGAGTTGTCCCACCTCCTGTAACCACCACAGTCACCAGACCTAAAATATTATCGAACATTTGTGGTCTGCATTGGAACGGAAAGTGCGTTCTCGTTATCCACCGCCAACATCGTTATCTGAACTTGCCACCGTTTTGCAGGAAGAATGGCATAATATTCCCTTGACAAACATACAGGAACTGTATTTATCCATTCCGAGAAGACTGCAAGCTGTTTTGGATGCAAACGGGTTTCCTACACCATATTAAGCAAAGAAACATGTTTTTTTAAAGGTGTTTCCATATTTTTGTCCAACCCCTGTATGTACCAAACGTAGTCTAATTTGAAGCAATGTTTTCACTAGATGCACTTTTAAGAATAGTACAAAACTATATTTGGAATAAATGCTTTTATTTGTTGTCGTTAATAAAATTGATTAAGATTCAAAATTCTGGCCACCTTCTTCTAAATCATTTCACTGTTTTCAATATAGCCTTTTCAAACTCAGTCAAACAATATACCCTTTTATACTATCGAAGCGAAAAATTATGAGTCTTTCTACTCAATAATTCCAGAAAGTTTCACTAATTTCATTTCTGATAATCCCAAAGAGCATAGACACACACCACGCAGAACTGCGAATAAATTCTTTACCTTTGTGAAGGTACATCTCTTCAGGCTACCATGGTTTATAGAAGTCCTTACGTTACTTTTATGTAATCTGATTAACTATTTTGCAGTTGTTCTGTTTAGAATATTTTGCTCTCAGTTTGTAATGCTAGCAGTTTTCTCTAGGTTTCCGCTTAGAAATGTGCAAAATTAAAATGTGTATCGTAAGTTAAATTTATAGAATTAAAAGTTTGTTTTACTTCTCTATTCCTAATTTCTTTCAGATTTACCTAATAAACAAAAATTATGTATGTATGAAATACACCTTAGTCCTTTTTACATATTAATTTCTTTCTAAAAATCCTACTTTAAAATCAAATTTTATAACATTTTTAAGTGCGCTTGGTTTCAAAATTATCTTAACATATATAAATTTAAAAACATCCGGAAACAAAATGAAAGACAAATAAACTGAATTTGAAAGAGAAATGATTGATAAAAAATATCTGATCAATCTAATCTTTAGTGATCTGCGACTTAGAGAGTTTTAAATCTAAATTTCCTTCCCGGAATTTGAGAAAATGGCGCCATTTTTCGAATTTTGCCATTTCTAGGTTTGATTTTGCTACAAATGGACTTCACATAGTCTTTTCTTAGTATCATTTGGAAGACTTATGTACTGGACAGTTATCAGCTAATATGATGTAAGAGTGGTTAAGGACTTTTGCTTGATTTTTGCTTAATTATGTTTGGATTAATGTTGCAAAGTGCTACTAACTTCTTTTCGGGAGTTATCGAGATGGAAGGGATACTTGCATGCAGACGAATACTTAATAATTAACGTTAAAACTTTAAGTTAATTATTAAGTATTCATCTGCATGCAAGTATCCCTTCCTCTCTTCTTGAGGATTACAATAAAAATATAAAGATAACAGTCAACTTAACGAAACTAAAATACACATTTCAAAGATAATCCTACGAAGGACCACAATTCATTACTTTTTGTCAAGCTAGGCATAAAATCTTAATTTAAAACTACCGTAGCGCTTTTCAGGGTAGCTAAAGAACAGCATAAAAGAAAGACTGATCCCTCGAATGTGCTTTCTGTGTCAGTAAAGCAATTTTGTAAAAGGCGACCGAATCCAAGAAATTTGTATTTGCATTTCCGTGAGAAATATCTTCACATATGCGTGTATCCTTTTAACCTCACATGTAAGATAGCAGATCAGATTTGGTACTGATAGCATAACAATCAGCAATACGAGATACTAATGCTCAGAGAGGAGAAGGGATTCAGTTTAAACATCAATGAAAATATCGTTCTAGGAATATGTATTAAGCAGAACATAAACAGAATTATTATGAACCTTCCTGCAAGGCGATTGCATAAATATATGTTTTTGTACTTATTCACGAAAAATACAGAGTTAGAAATTTTATCTTGCGTGGATTTTTCCTAAAGTAAACATATCAGGTGATCACACAAAAAAAAAAAAAAAAAAAAAAAAAAAAAAAATCCCTGGTGTATAAATCCATAACGGCCTATCTGCTAAATCAGTCGAAATTAAATTTAAGATATTGTTATTTGAACATTTGCCCTCGAGATAGTGATGATTTAAAAACATGGAGTTCTCACGGTGAGGTTAGCAATGAAAATATTTCGAAATTTTCTAAAGGCAACACTTACATTTTCCTTCGCAAATTCATCACAGCATTAGAAAAAGACAAATAGCGTTGGAAAGCGAAGCATTCGGAAAGAACAGCATTGTAAAGGACGGATGTTAAAACAAGAAAGTAAAAAGAAGAAAAAAACTTTCATTTGAATTACAAGCTTTTAGCGTGTACAACGTTTTAAGATAGAATCATCTCCTGTTGCAGGTTAGAGGCCACTGCGATACTCCGACCTCTCTAAGATAAATTTCTGGTTGTATGGTTATCTGAAATTTAAGGTCTACTTATTTAATCCACAATTTTTCTCAGAGCTCAAAGATGCTGCAAAAACGTGAAGTTTCACAGATTCCTCCTGCGATGTTACGTTCGTCGCTGTTGTCAACAATCTCCCGCATGCAATACATTATCGTCTAATGAAGTGGGTATGTTTAAAATTTGTGATTCCAAATGAAAGTTTTTCCTCTCTTCTCTCTTATGTGATCATTAGACCTTTACAATGTTCTTTGCAGATGTTTTACACCAGAAATTTTCGGCATATGTTTATCTTTCCAAATCTATTCATGGTTTCTCAATTCTTTGATTAATGTGCGCATGAGAAGTGAATTTTAAATTCCGGAATTTTTACACTGCAGCCGTAACCATGAGAGTCTGTTTTAAATCATCACAATCTCCAGCGCATACTTTCAAATAATAATATCTGAAATTTCATTTCAATTGTTTGAGCAAATACGTCACTAAGGGTTCATATATCGAGGAAGTTTTTTTATGACCACCCCGTATTTGTATCGAGATGATGTTTAAACATTGTCCCACTAATAATTAGTACCCATGTTGAATGTACAAACAATTCTAAAAGGAGTTTTGATGACTTAAATTTGGCTGTACCTCTCTGGAAAAATATTGAATGAACTGAAATTCATTGAAATCGAAAACAAGTTTTTCTAATACTTGCGCAATAGCTGCAAAGTAAGATAATAATAATTTATTTACTAAAGGAATATTGATTATATTATCTCCTAATATAAATTTAGTAGAATATATCAAAATGAGGTAACTCTAATTTGGCTTTAATATCTCAAGTTTTCTAAAAAAATCTAATCACTTAACGAATACAATTTTGGCTTTAACTAAATTTGCCAGTTTGGCATCTTCATTCTTACTTGAGTAAAAGACGAAACACATTCGCATTTATTAATTATTGTTCATTGAACGGGAGTTGGTTTGTTCCCCTTGAAAAGTCAACGAATTTTCGATCAATGATGATAACTACATGGTTTATTAATTTTCTTTTTCAAAGTTTGAATTTTTCTTATTCGTGATTTAAATTCAAATACCTTTCAAAATCCTTTTCATGATTTAAATTCAAGTCCTGTTAAAAAAATATGATTTATATTGAAGTTCCTTTTAAAAAATAATTTTCGGAATTAAATTTCATACTTCTGGGTTACCTCATTTTGATACATTCTACTAAATTTATGTTAGGGGATAATATAATGAATATTTCTCTGGAAAAGTAAATATAGATAATATTAAAAGCCATGAACTTATTAACAAATTTCGTATCACTAATTTTGTTTATGACACCAAAAATATTGGTTTCTATGTATTTTAATTGTAATTTTTAGTGCTTTCATCATGTTGATTTGCTTTTCTTATAAATACTTCATTTCATTTTAGGAAGAAAAGAGCCAAATTATCACAACAAACGTTTGGCTGAATCTGGTAAGACCTTTATATATATTTTTATGATATATTGTAAAGTGTGTTTTAATAACTCTCATTGCAGTTCACATGTACACAATGAAAAAAAGAAAGGAAATAAAGGGACAGTTCTATAGTCCTCGTTCTACTGGGCTGATTGACGAAATTTAGCTTGCATTTTTCATGTCTCGAAAACGCGGCTTAGGGTATATATTATATTTATATATAGCCTTTTTCTAACACAGGTATTCTGACACAAAACCGGACTGAAATGACATGAACATATTTTTTCCCGATTTTAATTCTACGACACAAATTATGCCTAGATATTAAATTTCGTAAAATTTTGTGAGAAACTTACCGAGAAATGCAAAAATTTATCTTGGCGCTCTTTTTCCAGTTCACCTCAAGAATAAGTTTCTTAATTTATGGTAACTTATTTTCCTTTCCTTTCATTTCGAAAAGCACCAATATATAAATTCACGTACCTTGGGAAGTTTTGAAGAAAACACTCTAATTTTTTTCGCAGGTAAGCCTAGAAATGCACCTGTCTCAAGAGGATGGTGAAAACCTCATAAATTATAATTCAAATATTTTTTTGTAGAATTAGTATAGTTTGCTAAAATATAAAAATTTTAAAATAAATCAGAAAATATCTGAAAATGTTTTTAGCATTGAACCGAAATTTCGAATTGTGAAAGATGGAATAAAGTAAGTTTAATAAAAAAAAGAGATGTTAATAAATATATACCAAATATAAATAACGTTCAGGAGCTAATTCTGTAAATGCTATTCATGCGATTTTTGTAGAACTTGGCATTTTGAGATAATTTGAATCGTATAATTGAAATATGGAAAAAATAGGCATGTCATTTCAGGAAAAGTCCGATTATGTACCAAAATACCTATATTAGAACAATCCTATATATAAATCTAATATATGTTAAAACTTGCACTTTTGAAACATGATAAAAGAAAATTACGTTTCGTCAATCGGCCCAGTAAAAACGAGTAATATAGAACTGTTCCCCCTCTTTTTTTTTACTTGTGCCAGATGTACGTAAAGTAATACGCTCAAATTCAATTTTTGTGTAAAACATTCTGTATTCCTATTTAATAAATTATTAAAGATTTAATCATCCTAAGACAATACAGATACATTCATCTACATTTTTTTCATTCACTTTATCATATAACTTTTTTTTTGTGTGTGCGTGTGTGTATGTGTGTGTGTCTGCTTTTGTCTAAATATTTGTATTTGTTCTTTTTCTTCACTTTTATGTTTTAATTATTATTAACACATGATTATTTCCATTTAGTTATTTTATGTTTCAATTGTTTTCTTTTGTTCAAAAGGGTGTAGCCCTTTATGATCATGAGACCAACTTGTTTGGTTCGGGCTGTGCCCATTACTGATACTGATACTGATATTCTTATATAGCTCTACATCAGGTAAATGTTACGATTTGAAAATCAAGAATAATGTTTCGCATATGTCCTCCACGACTTGTTCTGGACCACCACGGTTTCTCAATAAAATTCAAAATTCCTTTTTCACATGTCTGCCTCTTCAGGGTGGCTAGTGACCCACTGAGTTTCTTCTTTAATTTTTCTGGGTGTTAGTTATTCTAATTTCGGATTTACTAAGCTAGTAAATAATTTATTCTTGTCTTGTAGTTTTAAATTTAGATCAGTGGAATGGCTAGTAATATCGACTAAAAACGTCAAGACAAATAGACAGTCGTTGGAAAATAATAGGTTTTTTTATGTGGTTCATATTACTGCGATAAAAAATTAGAAACAGCATTTTTCCAATTTCCAAAAATCTACTTAGAACGTGCCTTATAGAAAGTCAGCTCCCTTCATAATGACAGTTAAGATCCCCATATTCCAAATCTAACAATTCACAATATCCTCTGAATTCTCGTCTGTTTAATGTACTTGCGTTAATTTTATTCACACATTTCACAACCGGTAACATAACATGCTGCATATTTAAAGTTATGGCACACGTTGCCTCTTCGTGCATACTGTAATGATATTTATGCATAGGACGATTTAGAAATTTTTCAAGCGAAGTTACAGTATCATTGACTTAACGTATTGATGACGCTCCATCAGTATACACATTAATGAGTATACTACAATTTAATTTTAGATTTTTTAGGCATAATATTACTTCTCATATATGTCTGACCCTCTTATTTTACCATGCGATGACTCCAGACTAGCAAATTATACAATGACATTAAAATCATCATCAATACTTCTTAAAAAAATACACTCTTTTGCAAAAAATTCGAAGCACCAAGAAGATTTTGCGATCGTCACAAAATTTGGTATACAACTGCATCTTGATCGAACATGCAAATTATTAAAGTGTCAAGGGAAATGAACAAGAATTGCGATCATAGCGCGCAATTCGCAAAGTATAAAACTAGTAACAGACGCGGAAAATTTATCTTTTTTTGTTGCTGCCATTGTAATTCCGTAAACAAGCAACTAAAGATGCTATTACAACGAAGGAAATTCCCGACGAAATGAAGGATCTGGAAGGCCAAGGAGCACTAATCCTAGGTAAGATAGGATGATTGTTCGCCAGGGCCGAACCGCCCCAAAGGTATCATTGCCGACTATTCAAAGCACTACAGCCGCTTTGGTACCGCCCACCATCTCACGGCACTTGTCTGAGACGGGGTTACGCTCACAGAGGCCTTTAAGGCGTTTGCATTTGAGCCCACAATATCGGCGGAGTCGTCTGCAGTGGTGTTGCAGCCGATCATCATGACTGCAATCAGACTGGCATTGTATAGTGTTCAGCGATGAATCCCGCTTCATTATTGAAGCAGATGACCACCGTATTCGTGTTTGGAGTGGACGGGGCCAGCGGTCCCAATCAGCCTTTGTTTTACAAAAGCATACGGCCATAAACCCTGGTGTGATGGTTTGGGGCACTATTTCTTACGACAGTAGGTCATCTTTAGTCATCCTGCGTACATCTTTAACAGTTTAACGATATGTTGATACCATCATGCGCCGGTTGCATTACCCTTCATGGCACGTCATCCTGGGGCCATTTTCTTGCAATAATGCCAGGCCACATACCGCTCGCATATCTCTGGACTGTCTCCTTGCGGTTGATACTCTTCCTTGGCCAGCAAGGTCACGGGACCTTTCAACAATCAAACATGTCTGGGGCATGGAAGTCCTCCAGATTCGGGCACAACAAAATATCGCAGATCTGTAGCGACAACTGATGAATGCCTGGCTGAATGTATCGCAGGATGACATTAGGAACCTCTACCATTCCTTGCATCGACGAATTTAAGTATGCTATTGCCGCCAGGGGCGGTTCGACCAACTACTAATTTGAATACTCAATGGGTGATTGTGAGCCCTGAACAGGTACTATGACATTGGTTTCTTAATTTTTTTATTATTTGTGTGTGAGCTATACACATATTCAATTTTATCAAAAACAACCACTTCCTTCATGGTGCTTCGATTTTTTTGCAAAAGAGTGTATTTAATTGTTCAACACCAGATATGCCAGTTGGTTCATCTAAAGTTATAGAAAAGAACTCCAACAATGGAGAAGGTCTTCCACTTTTCTGGGATATATCCTGAGAGAGGTTTTCGATATATCTGATAACTCTCTGATTTTTTCGTCTGCTTTCCTTTCAATATCTTTGTAAAGTCTCACCTTCTTTGGGAACATATAATGGTGGATTCTAGAAAGACTGCAGAGGAATAACGCTCTTGTCTTAAACTGAAGACAGACAAAGTCAGGTACAGGTAAAAGTGTGCGGGACACCAGCGATGTACCATAGGTCAACTGGTAATGCCTTCCCACACAAACTCTAAAAAAATTTTTTTAATAAAAAAGGGGGAATTGCAACAGTCAGAAGAAAGGTGTAAACAGCCCTTTTATTCGATCACAAAAATTTACAAAGACCATACTTGTGTTTACACAAGCGAAGCACTTCTGGCTTAAATACGTAACGCTGAACAATGTCAAATGTAATAGATTAGCCTAACGGATCATAGAATAATTTAACGTTCACAAGAAGCTATGGTTTATAGAAAACCGGCGAGACAAGCCAACTGGCTAGAAGTAGTCAACGCCACAGAATCAAATTGATTGCTAATAATCACGGCAGAACGTGGCCTGGAACAGGCAGACACGCTCTAAAACTAACTTCTAAAAATTTGTTTAAATAGCGCTTCTTTCTACTTCAATTTGAATAAAAGCTCACTGTCTTATTTACATTCTGGCATGAAAAGCGTGGGTAAAAAGAGAGTGATAGGAAAGGCTTACAATTTAAATTTAACAATTAGTTAAAAATAAATAGATAAACCTCACACGCCTACTATTACTTTCCGCTTTTTAGTCATTTTATTATGCACTATAATGGATAAAAGGAAAAACAAAATCTTGGAAAATTACGAATCTCTGCAAAGTGTTAAAAAGAGCAAATAGTTATGAAGAAAAGTTAAAAAGAGCAAATAGTTATGTATGACACAAAATATAAAATACACAAAATGCTGTTGCAAAACACCTGCTTCAAGACTCAACACTACGATGGCTCATTCAGAACTGACTGAAGCACTACTTATCAACAAACATCCAAACAGCAATGATTACCGTGTGCGTCACAGTTTTGTCTCCCTGTTTTTAGAGAGAAATCAGAATTATAGGCCAATATTTTTTTGCTATAATTTATATCAATTATTTGTTGATTACGTGTCATTAATTGTGATTTTTTACACCGTTGGATATATAAACTTAGGGTTTAAAATCTCAGAAAATCATTGAAACGTTACTCATTTTCACTTGTTATTTCTACTTCAAATTTATTTGCAAAATGTATTTCAGTATCCACTTCGAATTCGTTAAATGCACAGCTATTACTGGAAGAATTCAAGAAAACATGCCCAAAAGAAAAGTTGCAAATGCTTGTATGTTGCATTCAAATTTAATTATGCTCTTATTTTCCTGCAAACTAGCCCTATAACTCCCA